CACTCTTACCATTACCTCAAAGACTTCTCTGCTAATGGTTCTAGCACCAAAAAGAGGTTTTTAGACTACTGTATTTCTAGCTGCCAGAAACCATCACTGCTAATATCATGGGCTTTATAATTTCATGCCCTCTTGTTGCATGAATGGAACCTGTGTTAATCTAATGTCGTGAATGAGTTACTATGCCTTTTCATACGCATTAGTCTACTCACATAGTAACTCCATTACCTAAGTTCACTGATACCTTTATTACAAAATTACCCAGAGATGACCAGTGGAGTTTGGCCTATATTTACATGCATATTACACATACATACTCAGGGGATCTGATACTGTGCTTAGTCTGCTGCCATTGTTTTTTGACAGATGACTGGTTGATAGCACAGGGCAACTTTGAGGCTATACAATACAGACAGCACTTTTGGAAAAACAAATAAAACAAAAGCCATCAACTTATTTTGCTGACAAATAATATTGGGTGCTAAATATTGAACCTGAATGTCTTCGCAGCCACTGAAACCACCTTTTATGTGAAACCCTGTCCGTTGTACACTGTGACTCATTGTCACACAGTGCAAGCAAGGCCTCTCCAGAAGCAGTTGGATTGGGAGGAGGGAAAACGTGTCATACAACATGGCAGACAAAGCTAGTGCATTAGTGCAACTTACAAACTTTGAGCTGAGCCATTTTCGAGAGCTGAAAAATATTATTTGTGTTGGATACATTTCTGCATGAAGGCCAATATATATGTGTTAAAGCAAACAGGAAAACACTTATTCAATAACAATGAAAACTAATTACAGGTAAGATCTGTATTGATTGATGTGATGCATGTGATCTAACTGCCATTTTTAAGTAATTCAATTAATTCAATTGCACAGGTTTCTGGGGCATGTTCTAGGATGTGTACACAAGTTTATTCAGAGCACTAGCCAGGTGTGTTAAGCCACAGTTACCTGTTTTAGCTAGGACATTTCCTTAAAACTTCAATACTCCCTTCTAAGCCTCTTGCCACCAATATCTCTTTTCCTTGCTTTTCTTCATAACCCTCTTTAATTGTTTAACTCCAATTGTTCAGTCCGGCTCTTAACACCTCATTTCCCCTAAACATTCCAAAATGGGTTACTTCACTTGCTTAGTGTAGGGCCAACCCCCAGTCAGTTACCTCTAGCAACATTACAACAGTTTACAAAGAAATCATGCAACAATTATAAAACCCCACACCGTTCATCTGTAATCAACTATTTAACAATACTCATTCCAAAATAAACGTTTGAAATACAATCAGTTCATTTTGCCACATATGAACCAATACTGAACCCTAGTACATGCAAACACTCCCCTGCAGTTGCATATTGTAGAGGGAGATTGCTTGCGGTGAGCAACCTATTTTTCAGGGAACCTTGTGCTAATACTAATCTTCCCATTAATGGGTTTTTGAAAAGTTTCTAAGGCACCCATAGCTTTCTTAAAGCAGTTTGAAATAAAAGAAACAAATAACAGCCTCAATTCAATTATACACATTCAAGTATTTACAAAGTATAAACGCTATCATAATTATCTAAAAGCGTCTAAATATCAAACCTGTTAAGAAGTACATTTGCTGGTAGATTACTATTCTTTTGAGACGTCTTTACAATAATTTGGAAAAAGCGGCATACAAACTTGATGATGCCTCCTATAATTAAATCACAACTGATTTAAGTCCAACAAAGTATGTTACAAGCAAGTTTTTCTATTTTTCTCAAACCAGAGAATTTGATGACTGAATTCTAAACTGAGTGGATAGGAGGTTGCCGGCTTTTTGATGGGTTACACTCTCTCTGAAGGAGCAGTTATGTAGCTTGGGGGCACTCCTTTGCTGTCGCTTAAGGCTCAGGTGGCCTCAGTGGTGCAAAGTGCCTTCCATCAGCTTCACCTGCTGGCCCAGGTGTACCCCTCTCTGGACAGGGATAGGTTAAATACTGTTTTCTATGCTCTGGTCATTTCTTGGTTAGATTATCGCAACATGTTATATGTAGGGCTTTCCTCTGAAGACTGTTTGGAAACATCAGATGGTAAAGAATTTGGTGAGCAGTTTGCTCACCGAGGCAAGATGGTTTAAGCATCTTACACCAATCCTGGCCAACTTGTGCTGCTTGCCAATTAGTTTCTGGGCCAAATTCAAAGTGCTGGTTTTGACTTATAGAACTTTAAGCAGCTCAGGACCACAATACCTGAAGGTCCACCTCTCTCCATATGAACTACCTGGAACCTGAGTTCATCACCTGTGGCCCTTCTTCGTGTTCCTCCTCCACAAGAGTTCCAGGGGGTGACAACACAAGAACATGTCTTTTCTGTGGTGGCTCTCCTTTTGTGGAATGCTCTCCCCAGCGAGATTCTGCTGGCTTCTTCATTATGCACCTTTAGGCACCAGGCAGAAATGTTTCTCTTCAACCTGGCTTTTAGCTGACTAACATCCTATATGTGTTTGGGGTTGTTTTGTTTCTCTCTCTCTCGTTTTTGTTATGTATTTTGTGTTTTCATCTTGTATTTTTATGCTGTGAAGTGCCCTGAGATCGATGGTGAAGGCTAGTGTACAAATGCTAAAAAATAATAGGAACAAGAAGGACCCCCCCCAAAAAAAATTTTGTGCCTAGTGGAAATGTTCTCCTGCCCATTTCACTGAGTTCAAGGGACTCAGGTGTGCCTAATTATGCACAGGTCAGGTTTCCATGTGACAGCATTCAATTAACACTACTGCAGAGCTTACACGGGGAACTTGTGCAGCAGGAAGTGGTGCTGGGGTAGATGGAGGCACCAAAAATATAGCATCAGGAGGGACACTGTGCCTCCGGTCCCAAGGTAGAAGCCAAGGCAGTGGGTCTTGAAATTGAAGCATGCCCTGCATACTGTATGGAGTTGTGTGCAGCCTCTGTGTGTAGTTTTTTTTGGGGGGGGTATTAAGAGGGCTTACAGCTCCCCTTGGGTGAACCTTGCCTATAAATAAATGAACGAGCTTAAGATGTGCCTCCTTCAGGTGTGAGCACCTGTCCAGAGAACTACTTGTATCTCAGAGCTTGACAACAAAGCACTGCATGTGTGTACCAGAAAGTGTGCCTAATTCATACTACACTTCCTCCAGCTCTAGCAGCCTCCCTGCGCTCCCAGCGAGAGCGGTGTGTGCCCCGCTGTTGCCAGGAGCGCCTCCCTCCCCTCTTCACTTTAGGCAACTTGTAAAGATACTTAAAGCCTTGAATTCCCACTCTGGGAAGAAACTCCTTCCCAGCAGGCAGCGCAGCGCACAGAGCGCTTACAATAAGGCCTCAGAGCTCCAAGGCGTGCGAAAACAAGGCTCTGACTGGGAACCTCGCCAGCCCGCGCTGCTGACCCTGCGGGGTCTGCGAAGCCCTAGCTAGGAGCCCGTCGAAGGAGGCGGAGAGGCCGAAAACTGGCTGGGGAGGGCGGGGGGAGATTTCTCAACTGTGGGAGGACAACTTCCTGAGAGAAACAAGGCTAGATAAACAGCTGAAGGAGCCCAGCCCGGCAGCGGCTGCTCCAGGCTACATTTTTCAAGCATGACGCTTTCCCCGAGGCGGCACACCCAGCCCGGCCACCCCCGTCCCTCCCTAGCCCGGCTCGGGCGCTTCTGGCTGAGGGCAAGCGCGGGGAGCCTTTGACTTGTCTCCCCCCCGTCTCGCCTCCCTCTCTCCTCCATGCCCCTCCCTCTGCCTCATTAAAGGCGCCGCGCAGAAAAAGTGGGAAACCTTTGGCACACCAGCGCACACACTTCTCTCTCTGCCCCCCCCCTTTACCTTCTTTCGCTTTTTTCCTCCTGGCCAAAGTGCCTCCGAGCTTGCCCAAAAAGGAGTCGTCTTTCTTCCGGGATGGGGGCGACTTGGGAGTGGGCGACTTGGGGGACGAGGGCGACTTCTGAGGGGAGGTGGCCATGGCGGAGGTACAGCTGGGGGTCCCACGAAAGCGCGCCGGAGCCTCGACAAGGACGACGAGGAGGAGAGTCCCCGCTGGAGTCGCTCACAAGCGGCTGGTCCCTATTCCCAACGGAAGCGGAATTATTCCAAACATTTGAGGCTGTTCTTGCTCTCTATTTCTCCCTCCCTCCCTCCTCCCTTCCTTCTTCCCTCCCTCTCTGCCTCTCTCCCTCCCGCGCGCACCCAGAGAAGGGTTTTCTCTGCCTCGCTCGCTCGCTCGCTCCTACCCACATGGGCTCAGAGCAGCGACTCGGCAGCTAGGACTCACCAGGCCAACGCCGCCCCACCTCAGGCCCTACAATACTGTAATAACCTCTCTGGGACACAAGTTGCTCCTTCCATTAGTCTCGCACGCAAAACGTGGAAATAGGAGCCGTGCGCCTTTGGCATCCTAAGCAGGGTTACACTGGGAAACAGCCCCCCCCCGGCCTCCTCTCGCGTTCTTATAATAAGGCTTCTCCGTTAATGGAAGGGTCTTGCATTCCAGGATTGCAGCCCCAATATTTCCTAGGGCAGACCTTCCAAGTGTCCCTATATTCCAGGGACGTCCCTGATTTAGAGACGCCGTCTTGGTTTATGATCTGATCCCGAAATGCTCCACTTCTCCTTAGGATGTCCCTATTTTCATTGGAGAAATGTTGGAGGGTGTGGAGTTATCCGACCCCTGAGACATCTGAAGGAAATCCTGTATAGGGAATGTTTTTTGAAATGTTTTATTATGTTTTTATGTATGCCCTAATAAGATGTGTGGGGTCTAAATAGTAATTTCATTATGGAATGGGACTCCCTATTTTCATTGGATAAATGTTGGAGGGTATGAAAGGGATGGTTTTGGCCTGGACCTTCAAGTAAACAGGCATAGGAAGAGAGGCTTGTAGTGTAAATATATAGAAATAAAGGGATTCTAATGCAAAAGTCCTTCAACCTCATCAGAGCCAGGATCCCTTCTACCACAGTATTTCCTCAGCTTTCAGTCATGATATTTATGTGATTTTAATGTGCAGAGCAAAATCCTTGTTCTCCTTTCCTCTGCTTGAGCTGCTTTTCTGCAGTTGTCCCTGCAGATGGGTGCTTCCAGACTGGGCCTTATATCGCCTAAAAGTCAAACAGATCACATTTTCTGTGTGTGCATTTGGCATACCCATTCCTCCCGCCCCAATGGCTAATCATTGCTATTCCACTGGTGTCCACACCAATGGGCAGAAGATGATGGAATGTATCTGGAAATTGTATTCCCTGTCCTCCACTGTCTATGTTTTGGGCACAGGTACAGGTATTTCTGTACCTGTGTGTGCTCACTTTAAAAAATCCCAGAAAGTGTGCATGTGATTCTTGACAGGAGCATATATAGAAAACTTTTAATGGGACTTGAAGAACTAATTAGCTGTAATTCTTCAAAAAAAAGTTTCATACATTTTGTTTTACAGTAAACAAAAATTACATTTCAGATTGTAGTGCTTCATGCCTCAATAATAGTACAAAGTAGAACAACAGATCCCTGATGGATATAGAAGGTCCATTTACAGGACAGGGACATGGACAGTGTGTTTAAAACATAATTATTCATCGTATCTGAACATCAGAATGGCTAAATAGGCACACTGGGTGAGACAAAATTCCTTTTACTTCCAACCTCATGGTTCTCATTAAAATGTTCACCTCATAATTACTCAAATTGCTTTCTTTCTATGATGAGTCCTAAAAACTTTGAACACAGTGGTTGGTCTGGATGTCACTATTAGACAAACAGCATCTACACAGGTTGAGCATACAAATATTGCTAATTGGAGGGCTTTGTACTTTTTGCACAGGTATAATAAACCCAAATCCCAGGCTGAGGAGAGTATTTCCATTTGGGAGCTGCATTACAAAATATTCTGAATTTGTTAACTCTGGGACTAACTAAATTATAGAAATGTTTGTGGGCCCTGACATTTAAAAGAAAAACTGTTGGAAAAACAATGTGGAGCAGAGAAGTTTCACGCTGCTTCTCTCTAAATTACTTTCTAATTTCAATTTTTCTCAGGGTTGGTTCCCAATGTTTGCTCTTTTAGGGGCAAAAGTGAAGTGAAATTATGAAATTGAATTTGAGAAGCAGTAGGCAGGGAAATGATGACTGTGTCATTGAACCTGCTCCAATTCTCCCACCCCATATTTAGACCTCTGTTTCAGGTTTGCCTCCTCCAGTAAAAAAGGGTTTTGAGCAAACAAACCAGGTGTGTGATACAACTCAGTAATTCTGGTGTTCATGTGCAGGGTTTTGTTTTTGTTTTTTAATTTAGGAGCCAGGCCTTTGTGCAACTGAACAGTCACCTGTAATTCCATTAAATATTTCCAATAATTCAACATTCTGTGACAGAAAAGTTTATGGTTCATAAGCTTTAAGCAGCTTTGGTTAAAAATGAATCTGGGTTGTACTTATAGCATTGTGCCATGTCACCAGTAAGTTTTTTAATAATCCAAATAAGACATTTAAGTACATTTGAACACTAAACAGAGAGTAGCTTATATTACAATGATGATGTGCAACTCACAGTACACATACATTATCTATCAAGTGCAAATGAGAAATTCAGATACTGTACATCTCTTTTTAAAAAAGGAACTGGTATCGTTCCGCCTTATACAGTAAAAGCGGCTTTGACAAAACATTATTCATGATTTGAATTTCAGTTACTGACCAAAGCAGAAGAGTAAACCCCAAATGATAATATGTTTACAAGTTACAATTTTATGTAAACACCACACGATGCAATAAATACATAAATACTGAAGAGACCCCATCCTTTTTTCCTACCACCTTCCAAGACATTTCTATATTCTGTATTTTTCGTAATAGTTCTCTTTCTATCATCTCCTCTTGCAGCTGTGAGAAGAATAAAAGCTTTCACTTTAGAAGAAAAGGCAGTTCTAACATTGGATGTGAACTCAGAAGATTGTCTTTGGTTCTAGTGAAAAATAAATCTGGATCAAACCATGGTTTGATACTCTGGTTTGTTAACTATATTTGGTTATGACAAATCACAGTTTCCCGAGTTCATATGTAATGGGAAACCACAGTTTGCTCTAAAGTAAAATAAATGTTAATTCTTGCCCTTTTGCGCTGAAGGGAGAGTGCTTATGGCAGGGCTCACACCATGGGCCTTAAATAAGCTATATTTTATAAAATTAAGTTATGCATTGTAACAGAATCCATTTTATTCTTTATCTTTCAACCAGGTTCTGGAGTTTCACTCACTTCACACTTTTATGTGTATGCTGTGTGTAAACTATTGTCCAGCCAAATGGAGCAGTAGTATTAAGCACCTCTTACAAAGCTAAGTCATAGTTTAGTCTTTCCAGTTAGAATTTAAAAAATAATTCAGAAATAATCCCTGAGTTCTGGACACATCTTTGTGTTGAGGCCCATTCTGAATTTTTCTACAAGTTTTAAAAATCAGCTATGACAAACAGTATTCAAATAAAGCGATAAACGTAATGCGAGGCATCGTTTTTTCCAGCTGGGCTGCAATCCTCTGAACAGTTCAGTGTGCAGAACCTTCCACTGATTTTACTGGAGATTTGTCAAAGCATTCATTTGGAATATATCATCTTGATATATCTTCAGCGGCAACAAAAACATCCCCCCCCCCCATTTTCTAGTGAATACTGTCATTACAAGAAGGTGACCCATCTTTGTGTTGAGATTGACTTTTACACAAAACTAAAGATCACAAAGTGGTACAAGTCATGGTGTGAAAGCACCATGTAAAATCCACTGCAATACTGTATATTTCTGCCAGTGTATTCCATCACCATCTTTGGTTAGAAGCTGTAGAAGTTTCACTTGATCCCTCTACATTTTGTTTGGGATGATCCCTTTGATAACTCAGCAGCACAAATTGCAAATATTTGCCACTGTGCAGTATTAAATCTTATTTAGTAGACACAGTCCCTTCTATTCTGTACAAACATATTGTGAATAGTATTGCTTAAAAAATGCAGTAACACTTTTTCTGCTGCTTACAATGTACACATATAATCTGTAATTTAAAGAATATCTTCTTCCACTACAAGAAATGCTGCTTAAGGTTAATGTGTTGCTATACGGGTGATGCTTGTTTTAAAAATTGTAACCCTTGCTTTGTGACATATTCATGAAGTAAAGCATGCAGAAGGAACAATCACAAATACAGACAGGTGAATGAAAAATGATACAATCTTAGTTTTGCTTTCAACTAAATCAATACTATGTTCTGTGACTTTCAAGAGCACTCAGAATTTAAATTCCAGGAAGTGAAAAACAAACCCTTTGAGCATCAATTTCTGCAATAGATGCATATCAGACAAGACAGGCATAGAACTCATTTATTCGTTTTGCATATGTTGATGTGAATGAAGAGCTATTTTTAGAACTTGTAAGGAGAACACCATTCTTCTCATGGCGGTCATAGCATGCAGGGCTTTCCTCTTCAACAACATTTTAAACATGATCTTGCAGTGCTGGTGGTCACTATGCTGGAAAGGAAAATATTTGCCTGGTGCCAGTGTGTACAATATTCAGAATTTGTATTCCCTTTCTAAAACTCCCCAAGTGCTGCTTTTCATCTTTTTCTTCCACTGGTCACAACTCCTAAATCCATCTCTGTCAGGTGGGGTGTGGCTGCAGCTGGATGGTTGCATGGGCTGGCAAGGTGGGCGATGAATTTGGCCACTCCCAGCATTCTGTCCTGGAACCTTAGGGTGAAGAATATGTAATAAATCAGTAGGTAAATAAAGAAAAATCACCTAAGGCAATTGCTTCATTTTGCTAAAGGATAGAGGTGGCCCTGCTGGGATTCAAATAGCAGCATTCAACATACTCAAGGCCTTGGTCAGGAGATGTGTTTTTTATTTTATTTTAGGGTAATCTTTTCTATTCAGAGTCTCCAATGATATATCATAAACTGCTTTAGGGAGTTGCTTTGGACTCAAAAGAAATTTTCTTTGTATGGGGTGGTGGAATGTGTTCAGCTAATTTTACAGTTCTTTGAAGCTGGCAAGAAGATATGTCAGTCTATTAAGAATAAATAAAATTTTAACTACAGGGAATGAATCTTATATTCATTTATAACTCCAGCTTCATATTGTATATGCAAATTAGCATTCAAATCCCCAAAACCTTGCACATATTGTAATGTGAGAATGACCAAATGGGGCCTTTCCTCCAGTGCACAGATCACTGGGTATCTGGAATTCAGTTCTTCTGAGTAGAAATTTCAGATATATTCAGTCTTTTCTAGTCTATCCCCTTTTTAGTAAACAAAACAACTTAAGTATCGGAAGCTTCATCTTTTGATTATTCAGAAAAAATCATAATTGACACAGAAACCTTGAATTATGTCTGTGTACACAACATACATTTTAAAGCCCTCCCTCCCAGATTCTTGGGAGCTATAGTTTGTTAAGAGTGCTGGTGGTTTCTTCACTGTGAGAAATGGAGTTAGAGGGAACCAGGCAGAGGGTCTGCGCTCCCATCAGTTGTCAAGGAGATGAACAACTATACTGTACAACTTTTAGAAGACATTTGAAGGCAGCCCTGTATAGGGAAGTTTTAAATGTTTAATGTTTGCTTATGTTGTCATATCTGTTGGAAACTGCTCAGTGGCTGAGGCAACCTAGTCAGATGGGCAGGATCCAAATACAGTGGTACCTCTGGTTATGAACTTAATTCCTTCCAGAGGTCCGTTCTTAACCTGAAACCGTTCTTAACCTGAGGTACTACTTTAGCTAATGAGGCCTCCCGCTGCCACGCAATTTCTGTTCTCATCCTGAGGTAAATTCTCTTAACCTGAGGTACTTCCAGGTTAGCAGAGTCTGTAACCCGAAGTGTTTGTAAACCAAGGTGTTTGTAACCTGAGGTACCACTGTAATAAAATTCATCACCATCTCCTCTGTGAGAGTTCTTAGGTGTGTGTGGATGTATTTTAAATGTATGGGGTGTGCGCAGAGTTTGACTCTGCAGCATTCGTTTAAGATTGTGCCTGTAAACCAGAGGTGTCTGTATCCTCCAAACCTCTATTGGAATTATTTGGTGGCAGAAGAGACCCTCCTTTCTGCTGGTCACTTGCCCTTCTCTGCTCTTAAATCCATCCGCTTATTTTATCTTTTAAATCATAGTTTAGTAGTTGCACTCTTGTGGTCTGTTTATTTTTCAGCAGGACCCGAATACAACTTTCAAACTGCTTTCTAAATTTAGGGGAATTTAGAAAAAGAAATCCCCTTCCTGGGCTTCAATAGTGAGAAATAAAGAAAATAACTCTGGCTATCGTAGGGATGTCTCTCTAACATGCCCAAACATTCTTAAGGGACATGTGCATCTAAAACTCAATTGACTCAGTAGGCAAAAATATCTTGCAACTTTCTCTTGCAATGCAGTTAGCTTCAGTACTTTGCTTACCATCAAGGTCATTTCTCCCTCTCTCTTCTCCAGTTAGTTCTGATGATCCTCGAATTCCAGCTCTTTGGCTCTGGGCATGAGAATAACAGAGGCTCAGCTATCAGTCTTTAACATTAATATTATCGAACAGGTGGTATCAAAGCATTTGCCCTTTTCAGCACGATTAAGAGCTGGGCAAACTAGGTCCATGTGGCCAAGTGCCTTCCATTCTCTTCTGAATCACTACCACCACCGAAATATAAATATCAGACCAATGGCAGGAAAGGTAACAATCTACAACTGAAAGTAAAAGGCTGCTCCATGCATTATGTAGGGGAGCACAGGAAATCACCCTACTCTGAGTCAGGCCAATTGATCTATCCAGCTCAGTATTGTATGCACTGACCGGCAGTGGCTTTCCAGGGTTTTAGGCAGGAGACCATTCGCATACAAAGCAGCTGAGCTAAGGCCCTTCCCTAGGGTCAGTGCAATGCAGTATTTGAAGTTGTTAATCAGCCCAGAAGCTTACTGATTAACTTTGGGCCAGTCTCCACCTCTCAGCCTAATTGTGGGATTGTTGTGAAGAGAAAATGAGATGGCCCTATATATCCTGAAAGAAGGGTGGGATAAAAATGTAAAATAAATATGTACAAATGTATTGTCCACTGTTCTAGGGAGAGGTTTGTGTCATTGTCCCACCACATTGGGTGCTGACGCAAGCTAGGGCCTTCTCTGTGGTGGCACCTGGAATTCAAATGCCTTTTTCCAAGAGGTGTGCATGGCACCAAAACTTATTAGAATTGCAGCTCCAGTATAGGAGCCACCTATTTTGCTCAGGCATGTATGCATGGCCATAGTCAGGGGGTCAGCTGCCCCCTCCTAAATCAAGTAAATAATAAAAAATCTTTACTAAAAGTAGAAATTGTAGAAAGATTTTTGACAGGTGTTTCTGAGCACTTGGGGTCAAAAGAAGGTAATTTAAAACAACTGTTGTTGAAACATTTTTCATTCCAAAATCTGCTAGACAGAGCCAGACAGAGGATGATGACAGGTGAGTGTCCTGCCCCCCCAACTTAAATCCTAGCTAGGTTAAATATAGTTAATATTTAATGGTTATAATTGAATTACTGCTGATTATCTCTTGTTGCTGTTGGCTGTTTTATTAGACGCTTATTTCTTTTACTATATTTTATTTTGGGTTGTTTTAATATCATTGTTATCCGCCTTGAGTATCCTATGAAGCGTTGGATATAAAGAAATGGTTACTGAGCAGTGAAACTGTTTTCCCCATGCTCAAAATGATACATCTGCACATCCTCAAGTTGTGACAAATTGTGCGCAGGTAGGAGTCTTTTTCTTCCAAGGCGGTAATCTGGCACTTTTACCAATTTCCAGAGGATGAAGTGCCTAAAGGCCCATAAGGATTCATCACAGGAAAACATATTCTCCATTGCTAACAGTTCTTTAGCTCAACAGTAAATATATGTTTAAAACCAATAGTAGCTTTTGCGCTCATTTATTGTAAAACACTTCCACCTGCAAATGCCAATAATGTAAGAAGGAGCAGTACTCTATCTCTGTACTTTAATGGCGATATGCTATGCAAGGCGTAATGCAGCAATTTAGTTCAATAATGGGCATCTGCATGCATCAGGAAGCAAATCCTCTGCCTCGAACAAGCGAATATTCTCCCCATCTCTGATATTTTCGCTACTAATGGCAAACAGTGAGTTCTTACTTACATGATCAGCAGTTCAGATTCATAGCGCATTAATTTATTCTTCTCCAATACCAGCTCAAACCATTCATGTAACAGCTGAGTTTCATCTTGTGTGCTTGAATCTGTTTAAGATATTAAAAAAATAAATTTGCAATATCTGGTTTTCCTCCCCGTGATAACACTGCCATGTCCCCCCAAAAATCACATTCTGCAGAGACCGATTAAAAAATAAAAAATAAAATGGATTACACAAGCACCAACCACTACAATGAAAAAATGCTAAACTGTCAGCTAAAATATGTACCGGTAACCAAAAAATGGTTAATGCAGTAGGGAGTGGACCCACAGACTAGGAAATCCCACAAAGGGTCAGGAGCAGTCTTGGAGCAGTTGATACAATAGCACTTCTGAAGCTCAGTGGGCATGCCCCTAAACCACTGCCCAGATGTTTGGAAGGCAAACAGAATAATGATAAATAAAATAAAAATGAAACAAGCTTAGGTACAGATCACCCTCAACCTGGTCTGTTTTCCAGTAAGAGTCCCCATTAGTCATAGGACTGAGATTATTTCTGATTCTTCTAATGCATGAATTGTTGCTGCCCTAATTGTGAGATCCTCAAAGCTTCATTTTGCTCATCAGCCTTTGGAGCACTTTGTTTCGCCCCGACACATGTTCTCTTCTTATTCAGTCCAGTAGCTAATGAATAAACTCCCACCAACAAAAGAGCCTTTCATTCCACACTCTCGCAATTATTAGAGGGGAGATGCATTAATGTCACGGAAGACTAGTGTTTGCAGGCCTGTCTCTAAATTCAGTTATTCAGAACCTTTTGCAGCTCGATAGTATTGCTTAACTGTGATGATTTTCTAATTACCGTAATAATGCCTATTAAATCGCCTGAACTCCATAAGCACAGCCCTCCTTAAATACAGCTTAACCTAATAAGGGCTGGTCATTCATTAAGCAATAATGCACATTATTTTTAAAAGAGTGAGTGAATGGCAATGTAACAGCTGGAACTGCCCATTTGACAACATAAATATAAATAAGCAACCCCACAAAATTAATAGGGTTCCTGAGTGGTTTGCAGAACCTATGAAAAAATTGCGCACGAGAGACAGATGAGGAATAATCACAAACTGCCCCAAAACAGCTCCCTCTGTAGTTGTCTACCAATCAATATAAATAGGAGGGGGCCCAACCTTAATAAAAGGAATTAAATTACCACGGATTGGGAAAGGAAACGGGAGCTTCAGTTTCTCCAGACACACCAAGTAGGTGAGAGTATGACATTTCTGAAGCAAAGTAATTGATTGTCTACTATTGAGCCCCAGTGGACACTGAGATATTTAATGTTGATTTGAATGTGATGCTATCTGCATGCAGTTACTCCATCCCTTGCCATGTGGCCCCTCTGTGTGGCAAGCAGTCCCCCCCCCCCGTCCACACACACCGGTCATGGCTGGTGTCCATTGGGGCTGGTAGGGCAGAAGGCAGGAAGCTCAGCAGTAGAGGAGCAAGACCCAGTGAAGGGCAGAGTTCATCCTCTTCCCTGCTGAGTACTACAAGGGCAATACTGAAATACAGGAGGATGAGGGTGACAGCCAGTGTGACTCAACTGGCTGTAAAATCCAGGCAAGTGGATCCAGGCTGAGGTTAGTGGGGTAGTGCCCCATTTGCCCTAGTGAACACACACACAAAGCGCATGGCAATGACATTTGGTGGACCAGGAGTCTTCAGGTGCCAGGGGTGCCATCTTGAATAAAATATTGGGGAGGGGGCAGGTAAGTCCCACCGTGCATAATCGATCACATAATGTGGTGCACGCACAGCATTTGAATGGCAATGCCCTGTCAAACATTTTATTGGGGAGTTTCCAAAGGGACCTCGGCCTCTAGGAGTTGGCTCCTATGACAGGTGCCAATAGACCAGTGCTCTGTTTTTCTGTTGTCATTGTGTGCAAGGAGTGCTTGTTGCCATTGATTCTCAGGCAAATGCAGATAATCAGGTGGGGAGAGCAGGGTGGTAGGGAATGTGGGGGGCTGGGCGGAATTGCTCCCTTAAGTGTTATTTTGAAGACTGCATTGAAATGAAAGAACACCAGCACAAGATAAATGTTAACAATGGAACAAAGAGGGTCTGCCTGAACAATAACAAGACAACAAGCAAGCAGAAGCAGTAGAAGAAGAAGGGGAAAAAAATGAAGATTCTGTTCCAGGATTAAATAAAACACTGTAACCAAAATCTGTGCTCTTATACATTTGTTATCATAGATAATGCATGAGTTTTATACTAAGGGCTAACTCACAAAAGAAAATCTGAGCTGAGCAAACTGAAATCAAAGAAATTGTCTGAGGATCTCCCTCTTGTGGCCAGGCTGCTCTTGAATGTTAAACATTTCACCTCACTGCAGGCTGAAAATTCAACTCTGTGATCAGGGTCAGCTTGCAGTCACATGCATCAGACTATAGCTTCCAGGGAAATGTTTTAACAATAGTTTCCTCAACCCCAGCTCCATACTTTGCCCATCAGATCTATACTGGAAGGTGCAAACTGAATAGAAAGCTAAATTCCATGAAATTTTCAAAACCAGATGTACAATCACCAGGAAAGCTAGCATATTCTTCGGATATCCTCAGGTTTACTACTCTGTTTACCTGATTCTCCTCGTAGTTCCCTCTCGAGCTGAACACCATACACCTCCAGAGCTCGCTGCTTCTCCTCCACTTCTTCCAGTAGTCGCTGGATAGCCTGGACAGATTCATACATATGTTTCAAGCAACAAATTTGCCAAAGGAGTACTTAGGAATATATGAAGCTACCATATTGGTCTGTCTGAGTCAGTGTTTTCTACTCAGATTGGGCATAGGAAAGTCACAGGCAGGGACTGACTGTCCCATCCAAGAAATGGTAAACTGGAAATATTGGGGGCTTTGCTTTGGAGCTTCAGCATTATTATTATTATTTATTAAATTTGTATACTGCCCTTCATCTGGTGATCACAGGGTAGTTCACAACATACAGTATCCAACACATGTCGGTCACTGAGCTCTAGGCATCACTGCCATTTTCCCAACATCATCTTAATCACCTAACAAATATTCCTTTTAAATACAGGCAAGTGAATTTATCTGAATGGCTCTGGCATATGAAAACAAACAAACTAAATAATGTTTGTTTGTTTGTTTGTGTTTATACCCCCCCATCTGATGCTAGGGATAAAAAGGAATGACAGGAAAGGATTTGGGATCTTAGAAATTCACCTGCATTGTCCCAGACTGGCAGCATTACCAGATTCCACCCTGCATAAGTGTTTTGGGGGCACTATATATGTAGCTATGATAGTTGGTAAACTTCTACTCAATCTGGGAAACACAACATGCTCATCTGCCACAGCAGCTCAAGAGAGACAGGGGCTGCATATTAGAAAATCACAGTTTCCACTAGTTAAAAGCGTATGTGGCTGTAACCACCATGAGTTATACAGGTGAAAACAAGGAACATAGATGACGGTATGGAGGCACACGAAGGGGAATGGGAGTCAGAGAGGACTGTGGGCTGTGTATCTGCTTCAGGCAATGGTATTTTGGTTTCTCCCACAAGGTCTTAAATTACCATGAAATGCATTTGGTTTGGCTGCCAATTTTATGCAGTGCTTCTTTTTGTAAAATAAAAATGAGGTGCCAGTACTCATATGTTGATAAAAATGCCACAGGTGCCAAAACAAAATGAGTGCAGTGGGCAGTAAGCACACTATACCAGTGAGTACCATGACAAAAAAATGGTTCTATTGAAAGGAACTCCTAATGACCTGTGCTTTATGGAGCCTCTTTAGTTCCTCTTGTTTAACCAGTTGCTTTGTTTCCTTTTCCAACTTTCTGTTTCTTCTCAGAGTTCTTTTTGTCTACAAAAAAGAGAGAGGTAATCAATACTTTGTACTTAGCCACAGCTTTTCATAGACTTTTCTTTTAATGTGGATGTTAAGTAGTTTTTGACTGTGTTGGCCAGGCACATTCTGAGCCATTTGTCCTCATCAATAGGGACCTTGCTGCAATCTTAGCTAGGCATTAGCATTTTCTGTCAATAATGTTCCATCAATGAAGATGAAACTGCAGACCAAGACCAAGACAAATTATCTTGGTGACTAAAAAGTAACTCTAGGGAGTGCAAAGTTGCCACTCAAATCTTGACCTACTTGCTATATCTGCAAAATGCTAATAATTCAGTCCATTGCGGAAGAAGAGGAGCATATATTTTGATGAGAAAAGCAGTCAGGATTCAGATGACAGTTTGGCCTACTAGGTTTAGGAGATGATAGTTTGCCATGCATGGAGACCCTCACCAAGAACGAGATGTAGATAGAGCAATACCTATTTTGAAAGTAGGATAATTGGGGGGGGGGATGTGAAACAGTAGATAGAGCATGAAGAGCTTTCAAACTGAAGGTCAAAGACTATTTGCAATTTAATAACCAGACTGCTTATAACTTTATAGAGTTTTCCAAAACACACAGAGGCATGATTGTGCCAAACATGTTTCTTTTCAAGTATCTATCCCTTTACATATTGTTGCACACTATCTCTATATCTGAGTGTTGTGAGATTCCAGGGGTCCAGACACTTACACAGGGTTTGTGCGTCCTTCAGGAGTTAGGCACAGCAGAGACTGTGGTGTCTTTATGATATATGGTTTTATATACAACCCGTATCTAGATGGAGGGATTGCAGAACATTCACATCCTGTGAGCTTCTGGCTTCCCCCTTAAGGATAGCATTGGATTCAAAGGACAGCAACAAGCCATCTTCTGTGTCTCTTAGTTCTAACCCATTATCCTCAGCTCGTATGGAGTTCTGCCTCTCTTTCTCCTTCTTGCTGCTAATTGACTCCAAGGACCTCCCCCCAGCCTACATCATTCAAAGCTGAAACCATAAACCTAGCTCAGGCATAGGCAAACTCGGCCCTCCAGATGTTTTTGAGACTACAAGTCCCATAATCCCTCTCCACTGGTCCTGTTAGCTAGGGATGATGGGAGCTGTAGTCCCAAAACATCTAGAGCAGTGTTTCCCAACCTTGTGCCTCCAGATGTTTTTGGCCTACAACTCCCATCATCCCTGACTAGCAAGACCAGTGGCAAGGGATGATGGGAATTGTAGGCCAAAAACAGCTGGAGGCACAAGGTTGGGAAACACTGATCTAGAGGGCTGAGTTTGCCTATGCCTGACCTAGCCTTTATATTCCCATTAGCACCCAAGAAAGAAGCACGCAGCCTGGCAGCCTTGCCCTCTGATGGTTTCCTTGATAGGCCATGACTGGCCTTTGTCCCCTGCTAATAGCCTATCCAGCTAGCTCTGTGAGTTGGCTTGGCTCATTAGCATACCTAAATTTGGCAATGTTTAATCAACACTTGATTAATTCTAACTTCTACTAAATCCAGGAATTATGGGGAGAATCTGGCCCTCAGGAATTTAGGGGAATCTGGCCTCCCACAAGCCCATAACAATATATAAAGCAAAGTTCACTCTCCTGGCTGCTTTTCCCCTTCAGGGTTCCAAAATTGTCTCTTGCCATTTGTTAAGTGTAAGGCAAGCCTGCTGGATCAGGCCAATGGCCTATCCAGTCCAGCATCCTGTTCCCACAGTTGCCGACCAGATGCCTGTGGGAAGCCTGCAAGCTGGACATGAGTGCACACTGCCCACCTGCAGCTCCCAGCATATGCCACTGACAGTGGAGGTAGAGCATAGCCGTTATACACATATTTGTGTAGGAGATGCTTGGAAATGGAGTGGAAAAGGTGGGAGACAAACCAGCTGGCAGAAGATTGCCGTAGATAGAACACCACTGCAAATATCAGCAAGAACAAAAAGTGCATGCCTGGCTCCAAACTCAGCCCAGTTAGCATCAACAGCAAAGAACTTGTTTTCAAAGGCACTGTTCTCCAATGGCACAGTTGAAACCCTGTGCCGTCAGGGCCTATCTTGAATCTTGGCAGAAATGCATCCTTTTATACTTCTTGCACTAGTATCAGTTACAGTACGTGTAGCATACTCATCACTTTGGCATCATTTTCATTTACCGTATTTTTCGCACCACGCACCATAGGGCGCACCGGACCATAGGGCGCACCCAGTTTTTAGGGGGGGGGAATCAAGAAAAAAATCTTTCCCCCCCCCAGCCCCAAAGAGCAGCGTACAGGGTGCGCACAACCTCTCCCTGCCGGAGGGGTTGCGAGCAGCTATGGAGCAAGCCAAGTTTTGGCTTCCCCTTTAGCCCCATGCAGCCTCTCCCTGCCGGGAGATGCTGCACAGGGCTAAAGAAGCCATAGCCCCATGCAGCCTCTCCTTGCGGAGGGGTTGCGCGCAGCTATGGAAGAAGGCAAGGCAGCAAGCGGGATGGATCCCGCTCGCTGTTTTGCCTTCCCCTTTAGCCCCGCGCAGCCTCTCCTTGCGGAGGGGTTGCGCGCGGCTATGGAAGAAGGCAAGGCAGCAAGCGGGATGGATCCCACTCGCTGTTTTGCCTTCCCCTTTAGCCCCGCGCAGCCTCTCCTTGCGGAGGGGTTGCGCGCGGCTATGGAAGAAGGCAAGGCAGCGAGTGGGATGGATCCCGCTCGCTGTTTTGCATTCCCCTTTAGCCCCGCGCAGCCTCTCCTTGCGGAGGGGTTGCGCGCGGCTATGGAAGAAGGCAAGGCAGCGAGCGGGATGGATCCCACTCGCTGTTTTGCCTTCCCCTTTAGCCCCGCGCAGCCTCTCCTTGCCGGGAGATGCTGCGCAGGGCTTTCCTGGCTTTTCTGGGAGGTGGGGGAATTCCCCCACCTCCCGCAAAACCGGCAGAAGCCGCACGCACTTTAAAAGGGCTGCACGGCTTCTTCTGGCTTTCCTGGGAGGTGGGGGGATTCCCTCACCTCTCGCAAAAGCCCGCAGAAGCCGTGAGCTCTTTAAAGGGGCTGCGCGGCTTCTCCTGGCTTTTCTGGGAGGTGGGAGAAGGGACTGATGCGGCCAGTCAGTCCCTTCTCCCTCCTGTGGAAAAGCCCGCAAGAGCGCACGGAGCTTGTGTGCGGCTCTTAGGGGCTTTTCCCGCCTGCCTCCCCCCCTGCATTCGCTCCATAGGACGCACACACATTTTCCCTTGCTTTTTAGGAGGGAAAAAGTGCGTCCTATGGTGCGAAAAATACGGTATTTTCTAGTAAAATATATCCAAAAAAGAAAAATACAACAGTATCTACGAAATCACACAGAAGCAATCCTCTTTACATCACTTGATTTATACTACTTTTTGACTTGATTATAACATAACCTCAATTCCAGCTGGGGGACCATGCATTTTTATCTGGCTTAATTATTTTCCAGCCTACAGCAATAAGGAACATAACTGGTTTTAACTCTTCCAATCTACGTTTGGTTAATTTTATTCTGCTTGTTACTCCAATAAACATGTCATTGCCACATGGACCAATATACACGTTAAAGCCATATTACTGAAACTATTAGTTTATTAAGTTTGTAACAGCTTGGGACCAGTTTGCTTGAAGGATTGCCTTGCCTCATACGTACCTCCTCAATCACAACAATCTGCAAAATATTCGCGTTTGCAAGTGCCACGTAATGTTCATTTCTCATTTACAAGAAACTAGTTATTTAGTGTGGCAGCAACCATGCTCTGAACTCCTGACTATATTATCACCAGACAGGCACCCTCACTGTGCTGTTTTAGATGCCCACTAAAAACTTACTTCATTTCGGCAAACCTACCCACACAAGCAATATGGTTTGGTGGGATTCAACTAAAGAGCTCTTTCAGCATAAGCCTTGCACAAAGACTTCCCACTTGCACAGTGGGGTTTTCTCTCCCCTCCTCCCCTGTGCGCTCCTAAAATCTGCTCAGGTGGGGCTGGGAGGTCAGGAGAACCCCCAGAACAGCACAAGATGGGAAGAGGGGGGAATTGTTCCATCTGCCAAGTTGAAATGTTTGCGCAGACAAAAGCATTGAAAGAGAGGAACAGTGAAATCCACCCACTGTGCATAATTGGTTTCTAATTTTATCTGTATATTTAAGTAAGTATTTTACATTTATTTACACTATGTTATGTAAAACACACACACACACATATTGAGGCAGCATGCCTTTGAGTACCAGTTTGCAGGGAACCAGAATTGGGAAAAGCATTGTTGCTCTCATATTCCACTTGTGGGCTCAGAGGCATTCGGCTGGCCATTGTGGGAAACACATCCCTAGACTAGATAGGCCTTTGGCCTGATCCAGAAGTGCTTTTTATTATGTTCTTTTGATGATGGTGTTGTTGTTGTTATACATGTTAAGTATAATTATTTAATTGGCACAGAAATGGAAAATGCCTAAATGTGTATTGCTAACTCTGGGGAAATTTCACTGCAATATTCTAAGCAATGCTGAGCTTTAGCTGAGTTGATAATTAACTATTGTTGTTTTCTGCTAGCTAAACATGAGTGTTTAACCTCAGATCAGATAATTAAGGTACTGAATTGCAAATCACATTTTGAAAGGGAGTTGCTTTTTAGTCTTTGTTCCCAGGGTCTGTGGAAGTAAAAAAGGTAAAGGACCCCTGACAGTTAAGTCCAGTCACGAACAACTCTGGGGTTGCAGTGTTCATCTCATTTTACTGGCCGAGGGAGCCAACGTTTGTCCACAGACAGTTTTCCGGGTAATGTGGCCAGCATGACTAAGCTGCTTCTGGTGATGCCAGAGCAGCGCACAGAAATGCTGTTTACCTTCCCGCCGGAGCAGTACCTATTTATCTGCTTGCACTTTGACGTGAGTTCGAACTGCTAGGTTGGCAGGAGCTGGGACCAAGCAACAGGAGCTCACCCCGCCATGGGAATTTGAACCACTGACCTTTCGATCGGCAAGCCCTAGGCTCAGTGGTTTAGACCACGGTGCCACCTGCTGTGGAAGTAGGGGTGTGTAAATGAAGCTCTCCAGGAGCACATGGCCTCAGGCTATAATGGAGGCTGTAATGGAATCCTGGGTAAAGTTATTTTTAAGATACTGAGCCTGAGCTGGACAACACAAGATCTTATATAGAATTATTTGGATGTATCTTTGCTGTTTTTGTTCTGTTTTGGAAGAAGTTCTGCAGGTAAAGTTTTGAATAATATCTAATGGGTCTGGACAATGTTTCATTCCAAAAAGAGTCAGTTTTTATGCATCCAGTCGCTTCAAATTCTGCAGTATTAATATTTGCAATAATATATTTATTTATTTATGCCCAACCTTTTCCCTTAATGGCACATGAGGCAGCTTACTGATAAAAACAAGAACCACTAAAAACATCTGAAAAAATCAACACCACAAAGAAGTTGGCAACCCAGCAGTGTCATTGGCGGAGACTGGAAGTCTTATTTTGGCATTAAGTGGTTTGTAAATTAATAAATAATAAGAACAACAATTGTTGCTGCAATTTCTTCACTGCGGCTGCCAGCACTTGTTCATTTATTACATTGTCCTTCCAGATTCTCTCTCCCTCCCTTTGTCATTTTGGCTAGCTGTGATTATTCCCTGGGGACCCCAGTCTGAAGTGGGGCTCCAGGCAAATATCTGACCTCTTGTGCCAGTTCTGTGGAAGAGAGGAACTATTGTAATTCCCTTTGGTTCTTGACACTCAGTAGCAAATCACAGAGTTCATTTTATACTGAACCTTTACTATTTCCAATATGGGGAGGGAAGTGTTGAAAACATTACCTTGTGTGGCAATGAAGACCTGCCTTCTAATTCGCTGTCAGAGGATGAAGAGCAATAGTCAACAACTTGTTTTCTGGCAGGTAAATGCTCAGAACCTGAAAGAGGAACAGAAAGCTCAGTGGCGCAGGCAGTATTCTCAACCTGGGCTTTAAGTGGATTCCCCCCCATAGCTTCTGAGACTGCACCTGCCTGCGGCTTTGCAAGGCTATACCTAGCAGCAATTTGGAACACTGGCTAATTACATTAATTAAGCTTTTGGCAACTGTTCAAGGCCTTCACTGCTTGGCAAGTCCTTGGCCACAGCTACCCTTGCAAACATATCAAGTTTTATGTACAAATCAGTTAACTCCTACTTCCATTGTATGACGGCTCAGGCTTCCATTCAAAAAATCAGATCTGTTATTAAAATGCATATCTGAAGTTAGCCATGTTATCTAAATGATTGTCTAAGGCTCACCATGCGGGCTAATTGAATGCACCAAGTCTGAGCCAGCTCTTAAACAAATTACCCTTATGTGATTTGTAGCATCTGGCACCCATTTTTACTCTGTGACATCTGCTCAGTGTAAAAGAGCTGGCGTCAGAATGTCTGGTCATATAAAAAAAGTCACAAATATAATCAGAAGCAAATGGACTTCACGGAGGAGGTTTTATCACACGGCCTCATGCAATATAAATATTTCATTAATTAGGCCTAAACAAATGTCACATATATATTTTCTCTCCCTCGCTCAAGATTATCACACTGTGTGTTGAACAGTAAATGCTGTACATAATGAATACACAAACCACAATGATGCATTCTTCCACAGATTTCACTCAAACTGAAAGTTCAGGCTGAGACCTGTGTTCAGAGATTCAAATTGCTTTCAATTTTGGGCCCCCAAATTATATTTTTTCTCTTTTCATCAGCATAGTGTTTTAACAGGCCTGTAAATTTCCACATGATTTTTTTTTTAATGGCTAATTCATTTCTTCCTCCTCTCTAAGAAAACAGAAAAGGTACAGGGAACATCTGGTGAAACGCTTAACTTGCTGCAGGATTAATGATTAACACCTGGATTAGACTCTGGTCAGACAGTGAGTGGCAAACATACGCATCCTAAAATGACTGAAGGCTTCTTGGCACAAGCAGGATAACTGTAGGATGTAACTAAGGAAGTGTGCGGCTTAGTGGTAGAGCATCTGCATTGCATGGCAGAAGGTCTTGGGTTTGATTCCTGGCATCTCCAGGTAGGGCAGGGAGAGACTCCTGCCTGTAACCCTAGAAAGCCACTGTCAGTCAGTGTAGGGAATACTGAGTTACATGGACAAGTGATCTGACCCAATATGGCTATGTATGTTCCTCTTTACTATAATCCATTGCATGAATGCAACATTTGTTAGGAGGAAGGACAATGTGGTTGGTAGAGAAGTTATAGATTTTGGGGATAACTGAAACTAAAATAAGAGTCTATCCCCTGCTGCCCCAAGGGCCGAAACATTTCTTTTCAAGTGTCCTTTGACACACGCAGGTTACTTACTAGATGATGATTGCAAGGTTACTTGTGTTTTGCAAGAGTGGCTCACTGTGCCTTTTCACCTTCCTGGCTGCATTTTACACCAAAAGGAGTTGAAAAACTAAGTGCTGGAGTAGGCAAGGAGCTGCAGGAAGAAAACATTAACCGAGAAGCCATGTTGCTCACTGATCAGAAAAGATGTAAAGAGGGGGAAGGCTCTTTTGTTAAAGGACCTGGAACACTCCTGTTTGGAAGGATGACACACTGCAACCCCCAGTCCATGATGGGCAAATTTAGGGCTGTGTGAGTGGTATGCCCACACCAGGCACTGAGCTGAGGGGGCACTGTCTCAAAACCCAGTAAGCAAGGCGCTGGGCCTTGGGAAGGAGATGCGAGGGCTCTGGGACCCTGCCAGAACCTTGTGCCTCCTTCCCAAAGCCAGGCGCCTCCTTACTCACCTTTGGGAAAGCAGCACGGGGGGGGGGCAAATTTTGACCTTTGAGCATCGTACCCAAGCCCACCATTGTCCATGATAAGCCTCAGGCAAATGGTGGGCAGTTGGGCAAAAGGAGAATGGCACCAAGAGTCTTATTGTGTCTCAATAAAACCTAATGTAACCTTTAAGGTGCTGGAGCCCCTGCAGGACTCTTCATAACATGGGTCCATGATGTAGCCACAGCGCTGTTATGTGCTGAAGTGGTACCCACATCCTAAAAGTAACATTGGCAGGATCCCTTCAGTATTCCAACTATACCTTGAGGAGCAGAGGAACCTCTTTCCGCCTCCCTCACAGATGTGGGCTCAGGCAACCCAGCACACTCCCAGCTCAGTGAGCCTATTAGATTACATTCTGGGATTGGCTAGGCATGTGAAGTTAAGTGTGCCAAGACGCACTCATAGCGCTCGTGAATTTGAGTTATGGGCTGACTATCCAAGGATATTCCATTCCTTTGCCATCTTTGGAATCAAGGGAAAACAACGAACTGAAGCAACCCCTTGAAGATGCTCTGCTGTTCCAGGACGGCTACAAATCCCACGTGTCCCCAGGGTGGTGGAGCTAGACCAGATGATGGAAAGCCAAGTGTGCAGCTGAAGGCGGTGACTCAATTCCCATTGGATGGCCTTGGAGGCCAGCTGGCTCTGTTAAGCCAGCATTGAACTACTGGAATTATGAGCAAGTGAACAATGAGGGCAAAGACATGTTGTTAATGGGAGCATCCCCTTGTTAACAACTGCAGCAAAATAGGCTGACAAATGGAGTGTGTGTTACATAAAAAACGGTTGCATTCACGTATCATTACCCTGCTTAATTATCAGCTTCTTTTACTCTGAAAAGCACTGAATTTGATGGGCCTACATGGGCATTTCTCCAAACACCCTTGTGCTCAAAGCTGCTGAAGCATATTTAAAGAAATAAGCTATAATCCTCAAGATACCCTGATATGCCTTTGGAACAGAACCAAGATCCCCTTTTCCCTCTCTAGAAGTGGAGATTTCCAGAACCTTCTCCCTCCCTCCCTTCCCTTTCATATATCCAATAATTAAAATGCTTTACAAGGATAGGAAGCATGGGCATAGCCGGGGCGGGGGGGCGGGGAGGGGCAGCTGCCCCCCATCAAGAAAAATAAATAGCTAACTAATATTCTGCACCCCCAACAAAAGAATAACAAAAATCCTGGCTACACCCATGATAGGAAGTGTTTTGTAGGACCATAGCACCTACCAGGATTCATATTCTAGAGACCATGCTTAAGCATGAAGAGTAAAACAGCCAACTGCAGCAGTATATTCCATTATACTTTGTGTCCTCCAAGATGTTTTGGACAGCACTTATTGACCCCAGCCAGTGCTGGTTGGCACTGATCTGGGCACCAGATTGGCAAAGACCAGTGCTATTTTTCTAGAAAAAGAGGTACTGAAACTCAAAATGAGCACCTCTCTTGTTCTCTTAGAATAACAATGGTGCCCACCTGAGAGGTGCCGGAACTTAGTTTTGACAAGTTCTGGCTGGGGGGGGGGGAAAGCCCTGGTAAAGACTGTACAATTGCCATGAGAGAAAAGACAAAGCAGTAGAGAGTAGCATCCTAATATTCCTATCAATTATTATAGTGATCATCTGCGAGTTTTACTGTAGTTGTCTGCAAACTACAGATATACGAAGGACTGTAATTAGCAACTTTATTTGCTCATCTAGTGATTGTTTTGTACTGTTAAGTTGTTAAGAGTGTGAGTGTTTATTGATGGAGTTTTATTTTATTTATTTCATTTCAAAATAAAACTATATGATATAAAAAGGCCACCTGCTCCCTGCCTCTCCCCTCCTCCTCCTCCTCCTCTTAAAAAAGTGGCATTGAATGTATCTGGTAGAAGCACACATACTATAGCAGAAGACCAGATCACACTACAGTTGCCATGGGGATGTCATTGACTCTGAGCCGTAATATATATGAACTACTTAACTGCATGGGCCCCTGCCATGTGTCAAGAGTCTTCACCTTTCCACCAGCAACAAGGAGCGGGGGCATGGAGATAGCAGAAATGCATGCATTTGTTCTATATATCGCAAACAGCTGGAAAATCATTGTCAAAGGCATTGCCATGGCAACTGGGATTTGTTTTCTTCTGGACCATATTGCTCTTATAGGTTACATTTTAAAAACGAAACACTTCCCATCCTACAATGTGAAACATTTCCAGGATGGTATACAACAAGGTAGTAAGGGGAAAGCTAAACATAAGAAGGCTAAAACCCAGCACCCTTGATCTGCCATGCTGGGAGGGTTGCAGGGGGCAGAGGTTTCATTTTCCCAAGCCCAAAGCCACTCAGCCAGGCTCTGCCTACAGAGCAATGCTGGTGTCACTTCTCTGCCACAAAACTCCCCGTTCCACCTGCCAAAGGTCCTGGTGGGCAGGGGGACCTATTGGCAGTAGCCCACAGAAAATCCCAAAATGGGATTTTACACTATTTTATGCAAATTGTTTAAAGATTTAATCTTGCATTAAAGCACTATACATACTTTGTTTAAAACAACAACTGGAAATAAAAATCTTAAAGGAGGGAGTTTGCTTACCCAAGTATTCTCCTTTGGAAGAACTATTTAGTACTTCATCAACATCAAAGATGGTACAAGGTGACACAGGGCTTTTAACTTTGACATCTGCTTTATTCCTAAAGCTGCTGAATAGGTTCCACACATTCTTCCTCTGTTCAGGACCATCCAAAACGGCATCAGCGTTTTTGTTCCTGTGCCTTAGAGATGAATAGCGGGTGTTCTTTTGATTGTGAGCACACCACTCATCCCTGGCAGACTTCCAGAGGTTCTCTTTAAGGGTAAACCTTTCTAGAAGTGTTGGCACATCATCAGCATTGGTAGAAGAGGAATGTTCGGGTTTATGAAGACTCTGGGAAGGGCTGCTATGCGCACTGTAAACAGGAAAAGACGTGCCTTTGTCAACACATGAATATTCCTCTCTCGGACTGCTGGAAAAATGAGACCCATTTGAACTCCTCGTTCCAAGTCTTTTTTCTGCGTCATCCAACACACTGAGCTCCTGTGTTTGTACGTTATAGTCTCCATGATTCTTGCTGCATCTGAGACTAGCAGAGCGAACCAGGGCCTGTGGGAAATTGAAAAATGTGCTTTCCAAAGGAAATTTGGCAGGTGTGTCCTGGGCCTTTTTCAAACCTGCTGGAGGAGAAGTAAGAGGTTCTATGATGGATTTCTTTATAGCTTTGGCAATTAGCCTCAGTGGCGATTTTGGCTGGGTGGCAGTGTGTTCTTTGGGACAGTCACCAACATTCTTTGAAAGTGTCTGTCCAGGAGACAAAACTGGAGAATGGTTATCTGAGAACTTCTGAGATTGACCACAACTGGATTGTTTTGGTATGTTCTCATATCTGTTAAAATAAGCATTCTTCTGGTCTGGAATTCCTTGGCAGTCATGTTTCGTTCTTGTAATATCTAGCTCAGCATCATCCGGAGCAGGTCTTCTGGGCTTCTGCTCCATTGAAAGTGTCAATCTCCTCATTATCTTGTTTTTAGCTTTGTTCAAATGTTTGTCATGCTGTTCTTTGGCATTCTCATCTCCGTCATCAGGGTCTGCAGAGGACAACCCTGAATTCTTTGTATACAGCTGAGAGATCAGTGGCTCACTATTCATCACCCAGTTTCCTAAATGTGCATCTTCAGTTCTGTAATCCTTGCCTTCAAGATGAGGGTAACTGAGAGGTGAAGTCAGATCAACGTGACAAGTGGATTTGTTATGTGCCAATGGAAAGCTATCAGGGCAGTTGTGGAGTGAATAGTGAGGAACATAGGATGCAATTTCACTGGATTTATCTCTGGCTTTTCCTTTCCTTTGAAATGCTGGGCTGTGTAGCTTGAAATGTCCTCTAGTAATTTCTGGACTCTTGTCAGGAGATGTCAGCTGTATGGAATGCATAAAATGATTATTTTTAGAGGAAAATGCAGCCAGGTCACCCTTGCTTCTATTTAGAGAGTGTTTTCAAACAATTACATGAGAAAATACACTCCCCCATAAAAATGCCAGAAAGCCTCACAAAAACATTCCAATAAAATGGAAAAGGAATACACCATAACTGCAGGGTCTTGCTTTTATCCAAATATCCCTGGGAGACAGTCAAGATATTTAGATATTCAGATGTCTGTAGGGGTTCACTGCAAAATATATATAGACCCAGCAGACAAACAGTTAGTGTAGGTTAAAAAAAGTTTTCCATTTTAAAAAAACAACAACAAGATGGTGACGTTGTACAGTCATACCTTGGAAGTCTGACGGAATTCGTTCGTTCCAAAACGTTCGGAAACCAAAGAACAGCTTCTGATTGGCTGCAGGAAGCTCCTTCAGCCAATCAGAAGCCATGGAATCCTCGCTGGACATTTGGCTTCCAAAACTAGTTTGCAAACCAGAACACTCAGTTTGCAGTGTTCGGGAGCCAAAACGTTCGAGAACTAAGCTGTTCGAAAACCAAGGTACGACTGCATTATGCTTGTGTAACTACTATTCACCACTAGGAGGCAAGTTCCGTCTGATCTGGACAGTAACCCTCCTATTCATGGTTGCACTAACCCACTGAAGAAAGCATAAGCTACAAATAATTTATAATCTAAACATCTTGTTTATTTGTTTGCAAACCACACTTCATCCATACATCTCATTGTAAAAATACAACAAAAAACACAAAACGCTATACATATGTAACTATACATATTTACAGCAATACCCTGTAGTATTTATACTGTAGTATTATATTGCACTTCTTCAACAAAGCATACTGTTAAAAATGTGTTGCTTCATACCTCTGTCTGAAAGACCTCATCCTTAAAGTCACTTTGAACACAGGCAGAGGTATCCTTTGAAGACGACCCGTTTTTCTTGTTGTACAGTAGAGGAAAATCTACAAAGGGAAAAGTGGACCCATAAAAGTGAGTTCATTGGAATAGATCCATGGAGTCCATGCTACTGAAACTACCCTTCCACATTACAGGTACCCAGTGCTTCCCCCGCCCTAAAAAAATGTTTAGGAGTACTCTCATTTTCCCACTCATATTGAAATACTGCCCCTCAATGAGGCTAAACTTAGATCCACAAAATGTTTAGGGGTATGCATACCCCTGCGCCGTCCCCCCAGAAAAAAGCACTGCAGGTACCCAACTGGCAAGCAATGCCGCCCATATAGACCATGTGGGACCTTGAAGGTCGCAATCCAGCTCCCTGCCACAGTATAGCATTATGTTTTGTTTTGTTTTTTAAAAATCATTTTAATCAATTAGGTGGCACAGAAAAACAGCAGCAGCAGCAACAACAACAACAATAACAGTGACATAGCAAAATGATGATGATGATGATGATATTCTCCTGTATCCACCATTCCGTTCTGCTCCCCAGCCAGGCTACAAGCCATGATGGCTATAATGGTGTTTTGCAACTTTGACCTGTTGCAGGACCTTAGCAGAGCATACGCAGAGTTCCAGAAAGCAATCAGTTGCAGGCAGGATGGATGAAGCAGGAACAAGACGCTGCTACCAGTAACTTGGTTACGTAGTGGTGTTTATTATTTACAGCAGACTCTACAAGTTACTATATACAAGAACAGATATGGATCTTAACTAGCTCTCTCTTAACAAACTCCAAACGACTCTCGCAACTCAGAACACCACACTGACCAACAAAACTATCCAGTCAGTAAGGCCATAAGTCATCATGCCTGCGTGAGACCTCAACCAATGGTAGAGCTGTATCCAAGGTCTCATATCTCCAGGCAGAATAACTCCTCTCTGCTCAGTCATCTTGGCTTTCGGCCAATGCTTAATTGAGTCTGTGTGAAGCTGCACAGAATGGCATGTAGTCAAAAATCCCAACAGGCTATGCTCTGCCTCCACTGTTAAAGGCAGCAATGCATCTGAATACCAGTTGTTGGAAACCAGGGGAATGGAGAAGGCTCTTGTGCTCATCTTCTGCTTGCTGGTTTCCTACAGGCAACTGGTTGGCCACTGTGAGAATGGGATGCTGGACTAGATGGGCCATTGGCCTGATTAAGAAGGCTCTTCTTACGTTCTTATGTTTGGAGTGCTACGCCCAATAGTAAACATGTTTTTAAATGCCCAGTTAATTGGGGGGGGAATTGCCCTGGCCCTAAAAAATAGGAAAGGTGACCCAGTGAACAGTGCCCTTAGATATTGGGGGGGGGGGACTAGCTGGGTTTTTTTGCCCTTGGTGAAGCCTCCCTAGAGGAATCATTGAGGCTCGCAGACATGTGTATGGGTGTGTGTGTGCCAAACTGAGTCTTTGACCCAGGTGAAACAAAGCCTCGTTTTGCACCTGCAGGGAAAGGGGCTTTCCATAGCTGCATTGCCACTACTTGTTGCAACAATCCTCAAGTCCGCAGGGGGTGGTTTCTAGAGAAAGGAATCAGCTTGATGACCTCAGCATGCATGCAGGTTGGTGGGTATGGAAGGAGGTGGCTACACATTGCTCCAGTCATATATTGGCATCCCTATTTTATTTAGAGATGTGCCGTCAATCCCCTTTTCAGTTTTCATCAGTTCCCAAAGTGTAAAGGAGCCATAAAATACGCAATTAAACTCAACGTGAAAGAGTTAAAATCAACAATACAGCCTGTGCCACTGAGTGAAAAAAGAAATCTAATTATTCTGGTGCAATTAATATTATAGAAAACTACCCACACTCAGAGAAGCTTGTAGGATGCTGTTTCTATGTAACTGCTTTAGGGCTTTAAAAACAACAACACCAAATTGGATGTTCAATACTATCGAGTTCTACCATGGCTTTGCAAATTGGCTGCCACATTCAGATTCCCTGACTGCTGTCTTCTGGTCCTGTCAGGTTCTCCTCTCACCCCTGCAACAGAAACTCTCGCTGGCTAACAATATTGCCATATAAACCATCGCCAGCTTGCCATTGATTAATTTCCTAGCCGCACCTTAAGAATTGTGTGGCAGAGTTTCCGCTGTTCCATCATTTCCCCACCAAATGGCAACTTTTCCACAATGGAATTCAAGGGCCGCCCCCCCCCCCGCCCCATTCCCATCCCTTCATTGACTGAATGGCTGAGCTCTGCTCCTGGTGGTGCCAATTAAGCACAGCAGGAGACAAGAGCAGCAGCTGTCAAAGATCTTTTATTTCAGACGCAATGGAGGAAATGTTTTTGTTCTCTGCAACGTAGGAGACAATGTTTATTCCAATATGGATTCTTGGATCACATAACTTAATATCGAATGTGTATTTCTCTCTCTCTCTCTCTCTCTCAACAAAATAGTAAATGCAGGAAATATTTGCACAGCTTTGGATAAATCAACACATTTATTAATATAAGTGTTAGTACAGTTCATTGTCCTGGAAGGCAAGTAAAATGACTCCAGCTGATGCCTGCAAATTTAAAACAAGCAAGGGATGTCCTGGATAATAATAAATAATAAGAATAATTTTATTATTTATACCCCAGCCACTCTGGGAGGCCTACAGTGCATATAAAAACATAGCAAAATGTCAAACATTTAAAACTTCCCAATACAGGACAGCTTTCAGATGTTTTCTAAAAGTTGTGTAATTCTTTATCTCTGGATTTTATTGACTATAGTTTATCTTTTTTTTATAAAATTTTTATTGGGTTTTCACATTTTATATAGACAACACAAACACAGAAAGACACAAACAAAACATGTATAATTTCAAATACTTACTTTCTTAACCACTTCCCCTAACTTCCCCTCCCCCCACTTCATACATCCCACTTCCAATAGTTAGCTCAGCAAGTCCTTACCTCTCATCCTTAAAATATTATTATTGTTGTTATTTTTTAACTTAACTCTTCTTATTTAACCAAATTTATCTTATACAGATCTCTTATAAACATTTTGCCTTTTTCTAAGGTCGACCCAAGTTCCCTTCCACAGATTCCCCTTTTTTTCATTAAATATTGGTCATACCAACTAAACACAAAAGTCATAAAAAATTTTCAAAAATCTGCTCTCCCCCCCCCCTTCCCCGGTTTCAGTCCCCTTCCGAAGAAATGTCCACAAAAACAGCTCTTAGCCTGGGTTTCTCACATCCGAGGCCTTCAAATCTCTGTCCATCTCTCTCTGCCGGTTTTGTTGGTAGTCCTTTATGTTGGTCATCAGGTCTCGAAGGAGCTCTGGTACAATAAAGTCAAAGTTGGGGCAAAACATCCTACTTTGGAGTGCAGTAGGTTCAAAGCTACTTCCGACCTGCTTTCCATGTTCAGAAGGGTAGTCCCAGTCATATTTCTTATTTCTTTCAAAATCAAATATTCCAAAAGCTCCAGGGGTTCCCTCTTCCATCTCAAGCAAGTTTATAATCCATAAATCTTCTTCTTTATACTCCACAGAAGTAAGCTTCTGGTTGGTACTTTCCACCTGTACTTTTTCCACTCCTTCTTCCCTCTCCTCTAATTCTAAAGATGTCTCTTCCAGTTCGGCTGCAGAGTTTTTTTCAGACAAGTCCTTAACACAGTCAACAGCATTGCTTACTTTAGAAATCAAGGTCAATATCCCTTTAGCCATAGCTGTGCTCTGGTCTTGTAGCTTTCCCACGAGAAAAAACATTTTTTTCAGCTCTGCCTGTAATTTTCCATCTACAGCCATTGTAGTGTCTCAGAATTCCCCCTAGAGGGATTCTGGTTACTTAGTAATCCTTCTCCAACAGTCCGTTACTTTGTTGTTTATTCCTTCTTTATTTCCACCAACTTAAGTTCAAATGTGACACATTTAATCCGCAAAGAGAGAATTTAACAAAATTTTTCTGATTTTGACAGCTCGTTTGACAGCTCCTTTGACAGCTGTCAAACTCCTTATTTCTTTTCAACAGGCTCTCACTCACAGGGCGCTCCCGGGTCCGGGGGGGGGGTTGCCAAAAGCTTCTAAAAATTCTTCTTCTTAACACAATACACCAAACTTCTTATGCCAATCGTGGAATTAATATCTTTTATCTCACAAGGAGGAAAACGATCACTCCACCTTAGTTATCGAATTCTTGCTTTAGATCATCTGTAAAAAGGGGGGTGCAGACTTCCTTTTAGCACATCCCCCAGTCGTACCGAATTCAAAAAGATAAATTTCTTAAGTCCAAATTCCGTTCTACTCACGGGTTGTTTCTTTTTGTCCAAATTTTCAAGGAAGAAAGTCAGCGCTCTCCGGTCATGGCTCGCGGCTTCACTCCACTGAGGTAGCGGTTGACTCACAGCGCCACGCCACCCTCCGTACCCTCTCCGAAGCCTTTAAAAAGGCTCTTCGTGGGTCGGGGGCGCTTAAGGCGCCCACCGAGTCTCCAAGTCCGCAGGCTTCAGCGCCTGCGGTTTCTAAAGGTCCCCGCGTCGCCGCCGCGGCAGGACCCGTCCCCAGTAGAGCCGATTCCCTCCGGAGCTCGGAGGGAATCCGCCATTAACCGATCGCGCTAACCCGGAAGTCCGACTATAGTTTATCTATTACTTTATTTCATAAAATGTGTAAGTCACTTGATTTAAAAAAAAACAACAAACAAACCAACCTCCAAGCAGTTTGCAAAAAAGATAAAACAATAAAATTATCAATAGGAAAAAAGATCAACAATGATCTGATACTTTCAAAAAGTTGAAATAACAATAGACTAATAACAGATTGAGGGGACGCGGGTGGCGCTGTGGGTAAAAGCCTCAGCGCCTAGGGCTTGCCGATCGAAAGGTCGGCGGTTCGAATCCCCACGGCGGGGTGCGCTCCCGTTGCTCGGTCCCAGCGCCTGCCAACCTAGCAGTTCAAAAGCACCCCCGGGTGCAAGTGGATAAATAGGGACCGCTTACCAGCGGGAAGGTAAACGGCGTTCCGTGTGCTGCGCTGGCTCGCCAGATGCAGCTTTGTCATGCTGGCCATGTGACCCGGAAGT